GCGGTCATATGACTTTACTAGCTTTAATTCACGTTATGGAGGGTGTGCGGATACTTTTGTCCACCCTCTGTATTATAAATAGAATTAATATTCAATATATTTTAACAATAATTATATTATTTTATTAAAGGTTTTAAGATTAAAATTACAACAAAAAAGATTCGTTTTTATTATTTTAAGAATTGATTTTAAACGAATTAAAATTATTAAAATCTTTTTATTAAATAAAATATTATTTATTAAATTATATATCTTAACAATAATATTTATTTAATTAAAAAATAAAATTTCATATTTTTAGTTTTGTTTAATTATGATTAAGTTTTTAAAAAATTTTTTATTTTTTTTTTGATTTTATTAAATTTAAGAGATTAAAAAGATTAAAATAATCAAGATAGTTATGATAAATTCTTGAAAATGTTAAAAAGGTTAAAATAATATATAAATATAATATTATAATGAAAATTTTAAATATAAATTACTTGAATTTTTAAGAAAAAATATTAATTAAAATTAAATAAGATTATTATTAAATTATTTTTTTTTACTAACTATTCAATTATTTTTATTATTAAATCTTTTATTATTTCAATTATTTTATAATTATTTATAAAATTAAATTATTTAATTTATTATTAAAAAATAAATATTTTTTTTTTTAATATATAAATTCTTTTAATAAAAAATAAACTTAAACATTAAAGAAATGCTATATAGAAAGATTGTTAAGAAAATCAGATTCTAAAAAATTTTTGATTAAAATTAAAAGCTTAATGCATTTTAATCTAATAACATCAAAAAAATTAAAATGCAATAAAAATCTCAATTTTGTTAAAAAATTCTCAAAATCTAATTTTTCTAACAATCAACCTATATTCTTTATAACTTAATTAAAATAATATTAAAATAATATAAAAATAATTAAAATAAAAAAAATTAAAAGTTATTAAAATTTTTTATAATATCTTTTAAATAGTAAAGATTTTAATTATAATTTTTTAATTTATTATCATATAAAAATTTACATAATAAAACTTATAAAATTTTTTTATTTTTAAATTTTTAATAAAAACAATTAGTATAAAATATTTTATAAAGTTAGTTAATAATAGAAACTTAAATTTTAACTTTATAAAGAATTAAAAAATTAAAAATTTTTTGATTTTAAATTTATATAAAAAGTTATTAATTAATATAAATTTTTAATTTTATTTAAAAAATATTATTTTACTTTAATTAATATTGATCTTATTATAATTAAATTTATTTATTAAACTAATTATTTTATAACTAATAAAATTTTTAATATAAATAATAAAATATTAAATTGTATCTTTTAATTTACATGTAATTATTTTTAATATATAAGTAATTAATTTTTATATATATAATATTATTTTATATTATTTTATATTATTATTTTTTCATTATATTAATTATAGAATTATAAGAAAATTTTGATTAAATAAAAATATTATATAAATAATATTTTAATTTCAAATATTATAATTAACTCTTGATATAACAAACTCTTGATATAATAAATTTTTTGAACAAATATAATAAAAAAACTCTTGTTATAGCGAATTGGCCAATCAAATCTCTTAAATTCTTTATTATAGCCTTATAGCAAAGTTGAGATCTAAGATATAAAGTTCGTTATAACAAGAGTTGACTGTAATTCTAATTAAATCAATAATAGTATAGTAGTAAATATTATAAATATTAAATAATTTTACTAATAAATTCAAATATATATTTTATATATTAATTTAAAAATTGATTTTAATATCAAATATAATGTCAGAAGTTTTAACTTAACATGTTTCAAAATTTTTTGTGAATTTTATATCATGTAATTAGTAATTGATCAATGAAAAATAAGATATTAAACATTTTTTTTGTGTATTATTTTAAAATTATAATAATTTAAGCTAAAATTATGATTAATTACCATGATACTGATTCAAATTTCAATTAATAATATATGTTTCAAATTCAGAATGATCATATGAAAATTATGCAATTTTAAATGGTTATAACTTTTTATATAAAACTTATTTTAAAATACTAACTGGTAATTTTATAGAACTAATATCTCAAAGAATAAAGTTACCAGTTTATTTTTTCTAAATTTTTATTTTTTTTAAAAAGTTTTTTTAAGTATTACATTTATGTTATTAAGTATAAACTTTTTACATTATATAATAATAAGATATAAGCATTATTATAAAAACTATTAAAAAATATATATTATATAATAATTAAAAATATTAAATTATTATTTTATATTTAATAATAATTTAAAAAAAAATTAATTTACAAATTAATAAAAATAAAAATAATAAAAATACAGTGATTTTTAAAAGTAAATAATAATTATAATATTAATTATAAAATATATATTATAAATTATATAATCTATATAAAATTTATCATTTATTTTATATATACAGTTAACTCTTAATATCGCAAATTCTTAATATAATAAATTTTTTGAACAAATATAATTAAAATACTTTTATTATAGCGAATTGGTCAATCAAATCTCTTAAAATCTTTATTATAGCCTTATAGTGAAGTTGAGATTTAGGTAGAGTTTATTATAACAAGAGTTGATTGTATTATATATTATCTCTTAATAAAATTATTTCTAAAATATTAGAAAACTTAAAATATTTTGATCTGATAATTATAAAAAAATGAAATAAATTTTTTAGATTTATCATATTATGATATATCTAATTTAAACCTTTAAAATTAGTAATTATTAATATATATTAATTTTTTAATTTTTAAAAATAATGCATTATCTAATAATTACAAAAATATAAAATTTAATTTATTGAATTTATCATATTAAAACTTATTAAATAATAGTATTTTTATATTTTTAAAATTAATAGATAGTAAGATATAAGTTTAAAATTTTAATTTTTTTTATAATAATTTATTATTTATTTATTTTTTTAAAAAATCACTAATTAATTACATTTTTTTTTAATTTTTACTTAGAAATTATCATAAAATTTATTACAAAATTATTAATTTTTTTTAATAATATATTTTAAAATATTTAAAATAATTAAAAAAAATTATAATTAATAAATAAAATTACCTACAAATTTATAAGAAAAATAATAGAAGAAATAAGATAATTATAATACATTAATTTTAGTAATATTTAATAAGCAAATTTTATTTTATTATATGGGACCTTTGCAATAGAAAAGGGGAAAATGGCCGGAAAAATAAAAAATGAGTTAATGCTAAATCTGAACATATTTTGACTTAAAAATCATATTTGACATATAAAAGTAAAATTGATTTTTCTGGCCGTTTCCCCCTTTTCTATTGCAAAGGTCCCATATAATATTTATTAAAATTATAGATAGTTATTTTTATCATATTTATATATATAATAAAATTTGATTTTTATTTTAAAAAAATTAAATAAAATATTATTAAAAAGTTTATAAAACATTTTTACCATTATATATAACTACCTTTAGCATTAATAAAATCTTAGATTTTTTTTTAACATTGTTTTTATTAATTTAATATATATATTTAATGCTGTATTTTTTAAATTTGAGATACATATTCTTATAGTACATCTTTTTCTTTAATCTTAATATTAATATCCTAATCAATATCATTTCAAAGATATTTTATTAGATTTAGATTAGGTAATTATAGTGATTATAATAAAACTTCAATATTATTTTTCTCAGACCATTGTTTTATAAGTATAACAATATTTTTAAGATCATTATTTTATTAAAAGATAATATTCTTAATATTTAATTTATAATATTATAGAGTTCTATAAAGACTTTATTTAAAATCTTATGATAAAGTTTTATATCAAGCCCTTCATCATAAGAAATCTATATCATAAAAAATAAAATATCTCATATAAAAATATTATCACCTTCAAACTTAACTATAAGTCTAACATAAACATCTTTAAATAGTTCTTTTTCTTTTTTTAATAATATTACTGTATTTCTTCAAAATAAGTAACCCTTAAATATAAGCAACTTAAAATAAAATAATACCTAAAAATAAGCAATACATTAAATATTTAACTAGTTTCACATTAAAACTATATATAATATAATAAGGCCATTTTAAATAATAAAATAAAGTTCAAATAAACTATAAAAAACATATTTTATTAATAAATTTTCATAAAATAATTGCTTATAATATTATTATAAAAAACATATATTATCATAAAATTTTAACACAATTAAATATATTAATCACTTCTATCACTAACAACTTCACTGTTATCATTATTATAGCTATTATTATAATTACTATAATTATTATTACTAGTATTATCATTATCATTATTATCATTATCATTATTATCATTACTATCAATGCTATTTTTATTATCATCACTAATTTTTAATTTAGAAACTGATTCATTTAAATTAATTGAAATTTTATAAGTCTTAAAAGATTCTATAATTATTTTATCATAAATTGCTTTTTAAGTAAATTTTACTCATAAGCATATATCACTCAATTTAATATGATGAAGATTTTTGCAGCAGTATTTCTAACATCTTCAAATATGTCATTCTACAAAGGTTATTGAAACACTTGACATTTTTATTATTATACTTAACATAATAACTGACATAAAAATATGTTTATAAATCAGTTCACAATGTAAATAACATATATTAAATAATTAGCGATTATGTGAAATTATATTGATTCAATTTTATAATATAAAAATAAAACTTTTAATCATACAGTAGCGGTCATAAGTATCCGACCGCCTGAGATCGTCCAAAATTATTATATAACTACCCCTTAAATTTTCCAG